TTATTTTTCCTGCTGTAGATCATTGTAACCGAGCAATTATTGAGAAGAAGAGGACACAGTGACAGGCAACATAAACCAAACTGTGGCTTAGCTTTCGGTCAAAAAGTTTTGTGGGAAATATCTTATTGTCCGCCATAAGACTAAAGATGACATTGCTTGTAATGCTGACTTTGGGAAGCCTTAACTGGGCAGACGTATCTCTTTATAGCTGGTATTGAGATACAGTTAAAGAATCAAAGAGTATATCTATTGAAATGTGTAATAACAATGTGTGCAAACTGACTCCATGTGAGCGAGCTGCCTTGGTATTAGGTATAGATTGGAACATAATGGAATTATTTTTCGGCTGTAAAAGTTACAGAAATGAATGGCACTGAAAGCATCTTTCTTTTTCTAGTCTTACAAAACTGATGATTACCACCCATAATCCCCTTCTGTTTCCCTTTTTTGTGTCTGAACCATGTGTATCCAGATTTTTCTACATGTAAAACAGAATATATCCAGCTACGATCTTGCATTATCATTTGGATCTATTTTTTACTCTAGTGTGTTGAATTTTTTATTGACCTGTTAGATTTGCATTTCTTTCACATTCTGTCAGTAATGCTGGTGCCTTCCCTGTCTTCATTTGATCATATGATGTGTAAAAATTAGGGCTGTAATGTGTAGCAGGATTCTGTGTCTCCGTTTAAAGGAAAAGTTCAGTCACATTCAGAATACAAACTTTTGAAAGTACTTTAAGCATAAAATTATTACATACTTTTCAATAAATGATAAGTGTTTTTAATTAAGAGTAATTTTGTTTGAATGTGATTTCCTGGAGACATTTATGTTTGTCAAAGAGCACTACTGCCACCTTTGTGACGTCACGGTGTGGTATCGGGTGTTGAGCAAGTCCCAGTGCCCTACCTGATGTTTGTCACAACGCGCTATTAAACATGACTGCGACGACCATTGCAATATGTGAAGCAGAGATTAACAGATTAATGACGTTTTTTTTTCTCTCGCCAGAAGTCTGATGGCAAATCCTCCCTCTTCAAGTTTGCAATCCAACAACAAACCAATGGTGGATCATGAATTGGAAAAGTGAAATAACACTTTTTTTTTCACTTTTACCCGATGTATTCCATCATCCAACTGACATGCATGTGGGTATTGTTAGTTTAGCTATAGCTCTTGTCAATTTCAATGGTGAAGTCCTTTCAAAATGTTAAATAATTGTTGATTGCAGATGTGTCTAGTAGCTCCCATTGATTTTGCTTGTTAAGCCTCTGGCTTACCGCACCATGAAATCAATGCCGGAAAATGTCAGGAGGGAGGTGTTACTATATCTGTGCAAAAATGGCCGCTTCTGGACTCGGTGATCGCAGCGAAAAATTGTTTTATTTTTTTACTGATTAATGCTAAATTCATCAAATCACTGCAAACCTATTAGTTTTATGTATAACCCGTTGGTTATTCCTTGCTGACCGGATGTTTCCTTTAACAAAAACATGCTGTGTAAGTGACAGATGTGTGCACATGTGCTCTTGACAGATAAAATGATGAGGGTTGGAGGCAGGACTTGATTAATACTTGAATGTCAGATTTCTACAGAGACAAAGCTGTATAGTGCAAGGAACACCAAAGATGTGCATCTCAGATCCAATCTCTTCACTATTACATTTAATGCAACAAAAAAATTTGGTTTATTGCTTTGGCAAAAACTGTATAAAACTTTTTGGTAGTTGTTAAAAACATGTTATAGTATTACATAATAAAGGGGAAAAATTATACCTGTTTTAATAAGAATCTGTAGAAAAATGTCGGAAGTATACAGTATAGGGGAAAGAAATCAACACTATGCATTACTCCAAACATTTAGACTTGTAAAACATGGTTAGAGACATCATGGTTTGGGAATATTTAACATGAGCAGTGAGATGGAAACTGGTCTGAGCTGATGGGAAGAAGCAGTAAATGTGGATAAATCAGAGAGAATTATCCTGAAACATACAACACTAAAAACTGGGACAAGGTTTTATGTTTCAATAGAATGACTTTAACCATAGAGCTATTGAATAACTCATACCAGATACTATAATAGTTATGTGGTGGAATGGTCCAGTCAAAGTCCAAACCTTAATCAAGTTTGTGGGAAGACTTGAAAATTGCTGCTCACGAGTCCTGCATTCAGTCTGGCCATGTTTCTAAGTAAAATAGGCCAGAATGTACCTTTTTATTGTGGTTTCTCACATACAAGGATAGTTATTGACTGTTTTAATGCAGTATAGTTTCAATTGAAAATTATTTATCTACAAGAATTGACAGGATAAATTATTTTCAAGCTTGGGAGAGAAGATATATTGATAACAACCCCTCTTGCAGGATCATTTACTTCTGTATAAAACAATCATGAAGAAGATATTACCACATTTCATAATGCAGCATGATTTCTTTTCATTAATGATAATAATGCTCTGTATAATTACATCTTAATCACTGGGTTCATTGGAAACTCCCTAAAGCAAAACCAGCAGGAGGTCCAGTTTTTTCGGGTCATTCTTATAAACAGATAACCAGTAGGAAGCCATATAAGCTCAAAGGGAAAAAAGTATCTAATTAATGCCTGCAAATCTTTAATCGCTTTTGGGTGAAACCATGAAAAGAAAGAAAGGCTGATAATTTGTGCATATGCTTAGTGAAAAATACATGTTGAGATGAATAAGGTTTCAACCTCTAACATCCATTTAACACGTCCAGTCAGAAGTTTCTAACCTCTCAACATGTAATTAATGTTCATCTATATCCGATTAATGGCTTTTAGCAAAACTATTCAACTGTTATTTTACCAGAATCAACACAGGCTAAAAAATTATACATATCAGCTCAGACGTGATGATTTTAGAACATCCCATTATGTATATCAGCCATTTTCTTTTCACCTCTGGAAAATAAATTAATGTATTTGCACTAAAACAATATAAAAATCCACAGCTTTTTACCCAAACAAAAGATGGACAAATCTCCCAACTAAAAATATTCAATGTACCCTACTCTCTAATAGCGAATTTTATCCACTGCTGTAGAATATAACTTCAGGCTTTGTTCAGGATTCGGGCTTTCACCTGCCTAAGAGTTTGTCATTTCTGATTCACTTAGTTTGGCTGATTCCTACTGAATTAACTGAAATGTTTTGGGTCCCTTTGACATTGTTAAGTAGGCATATCCAAATTCATTCCTCAAACAGCTGCTGTTCTGCATGTTTTAGAGATTTCCCTACTTTAAATTTAATAGTAATTAGGGAAGTTAAACTAGTTAAACCTGAAAGGTGGTAGTTTTGTAATTCAAAAGTATGTTTCTGTGAGAGGAATCGGTTTATGATACAATCTGAACAGAGAAATCAAAAAGTTACAATCAATATTTTGATTACAACGACAATAAAATCTGAGTAAGAAAATATCACTTATGCCTGATTGTAGCACACAGTAAATAACCATGTCAAATTTTATGCTTTAAGAGTATATAGAAAATAAACGTGTAACCTAAAGTAAAATGTAAAAATAATGAGCTTTCAAGGGCCCAGAAATAAAAAGTTTGGGAACCACTGCCCCAAACAATGACACTCCCACCTCTGTGCTTAACAGCCGGTGCCCTCTGTTCAACTTCACAAGGTTATCAAATGTTTGATCACATTTTAGGGGTTTTTGGGTATTTTTTTTCAGCATCCTGTGATCTGTGTTCAAGGGTAACTTACCGGGACAGTTCTGCGGTTACAAACTGTTTTCCATACAATGCAGTGTTGAATTCAAATTCTGTATGGATGCCGTCTATTGTTTAAACTCTTCAAACATTGTTAAAATTAATTACAAGTTCAAAGTAGTTTAAAAAGCCCAAAATTCACCTTTTTCTTTCATGTTACTTTTTACCAGAATCCAATTTTTGGTGGAATATGATTTAGCAAGCTGAAAGGAAACAACACTTTTGTTGTTTTCTACTAGAACTTCTTTTCTAACAGAGTGGGGTTTGGAGTCATGTCTGAGTCTTAATTTTGTTCTGCCTCCTGGATTCATAGATCTGCTCTATTGCTGCACTCAATATTACTTTGCTGTATGTTTTGCCTCCTTAGTTGCCTTTGGTTCCCCTCTGGGGGTTCAGCAACCTATTCTGAAGGAATTTACCCTCCCAAAACAGTTTCTTTTTTTTCCTTACTTTTGTGCATATTTGACTATTTTAAATGTGGTAAAAGTTTTTGAATGTTCCTTATATAATTTCTGCCAAAAGACTAAAAATATTCTGCTTGACTTTAGGGTGAAATTAGTAAAGTTTCCATATTTTGATTGAATATGAATTTCTGCTCTTTGAGCTCCATATAGTTAGAGGCATTCAAATATAGAAGCAATCGAAGATAGCTCTTAACAAATGCAGAAAGAGTTCCAGTACCTGCAGTACCTACACTTTCAACTGAAGTAGAAAACACTAAAGCATTTTCTCTCCTATGGGCCAATTTAATCAAATAGCGTCTCTGGTGTTTTCAGCTGCTGGATTATGCTTGACGGCCTAAGATAGGAAATAAAAAAAGAACCTTAAGAAGTCACAAAAAGGACCGGAGGAGACTTCAAAGACTGCAGATGAGGCTCTGTCATTTTGGCTGTGACTGGTGCTGAGGGGAGATTTGCCCCAGGCCAGTCCCAAGGCTCCTGCCACTGCATGGCTCATTGAAATTCTTTGACTTAAGACTTGGTGCAGTCCTAATGCTCCATATAAATGCAGCTAATAAATAAACCAAAGGATTCAGAGCAAGTGTACTAAACGTATCAAATTGATGCCTGATTAGTCTGATAATTACAAAATGTTTTGATGAATCTGGAGTGTCTTAGCTGAGGGACTGAATGTAGTATTTTAAGCACTGCTTCCTGAGAAATGTATGAGATTCTTCTTGTTTATCAGCCGCTGGTTTAACAGAACATTAAAGACGTTCAGCTTCTCCTGCATTAGAAATTAAAACATGACGTGTGCCGATTCGTCGACTCAAAACATTTAATTCACATCATTGCAGGAGACATGCATTTGCAGCACTAAACCCAGTGCGCCTTTCTCAGCTGGAGCTCCTATTTTCAAAACACAAACAAATCTTAAAATAATTTAAGCAATACACATATTTAAAAAAGGGGTTACATTGTTTTATACAGGTTTGTTATACTTTTCAGTAAAATATATCACAAAAATTAGCTTTTAACACAGAGCAAAACATGACTAAGGGATAACACTGAGCTGGTTGATAGCAGGAATACTGTGAACTGGTGACATCCTGGAGCAAATGTCACACAGAGGACAAGCTTGGGAAAAAAAAAAAGTTTTTCAAAGAAGAGGGAGGACGCTGGGGGTGGGGATTGTTTGGGGTTTGGAGTCCCTATCAGATGAGAAACAATCCGAGTACGCAGAAGGGCAGACGGGTCGATCACTAGGCATAGAAAGTCTCTACTTTCACTGTCTGGCAGAACATTGTCATAGAGAAGACCAGACCCAGGATCTGTGGAAAAACACACAAAAAAACAGAGATTCATGAAGACAGCTGCAGTGGAAACAAAAGCTTTTCAGATAATCACAATGTTACTTGTTAGCTATAACTAACAAAAAATATATATGTATTTCTCTCAAAGTGCTGCATCCAAAACTCATTTCTTAGATAACAACAAAAGGAGAATCCGTCCACTCAAATCTCTGAAGCATTTGCTGATTATATTTCCCACTGATTTTTATCACAAACTCTATTTGTGTTCCAGTATCTCCAGAGAACGTTTATCTTCTATTTATTGCATTTTTTTTTATTGAATTATTCTTCTGTTTCGCACGATGCAGCAGTTAGTATTGCTTTTGCCTTTCAGCAAGAAGCCTCTCAGTCTAAATCCTGTTTTCAGCTTGCATGCTCTCCCTTTGTTCTCTCTGGATTCCTCCTACAGTCCAAGCAAGGGCTGGTTAATGTCTACCTAAAACTGCCCTTAGGTTTGTATTTTAAAAAGATGGTTTAGATAGAAAATAATGTTCTGGTGCAGAGAGGCACAGGCAACTCTGGGCAGGTGGTCTCTTACAGGTCTGAACTGGTTCTATGGAGCTTTCTGGTGGTGGGTGTGTCATGGTGCTGGAAGGGGAAAATGGTTATTGACTATGGTATTGACTATAAGGCTTTCAATAATCTTATTCTAACTGTAGAAGTCCAGAAAAACAACACTGAGAAAAGAATAATGTCTCATAAAAAGAAAAGTTGCACTAAATACTTAATCTAATGATGTTTTAGGTAATAGTTTATACCTGGGAGTTTAAGTCCAGCCCTCCAGGGCCACAACCCTGCCACTTCTAGATGCATTCCCTCCCCTTAACACCTGAATTCCCTCATTATGTTATTTAGCTCAGCAGTGTAACCAACCTCTCAATAGAACCAAGGAAACTACCAGATAAGTGGGGCATGATAACTAAATGCTGCTTCTCCATGTTTGGTTCTGGTTAAGCTGATTCAGTTTGAGCAAGAAGACCTGAGGCATCCCGGTGGTTGACACTGACAAGTCTGTAGTGTATTTTGGTACTGATCCATTCAGTGATTTATTGCATGACAGAAGTATTTCAAAGTCCTTTGGTTATGATGCAAGGGGTCAGTTAAAGGACTTTTGGTCTGGGATGATTGATGGATGGATGTTTAGGTTCTGGGTTTTGTTGACTGTGTTCTTACATGAGAACACAATTTACAAAGCGGGGTAGATTACTTTTTATTAAAGAGATGAAAAACACCAAACAGCCCTTATTTAAGGAAACCTGCCATTACAGAGAATAAAAGTTCCAATAATTAGAGTAGAAATGCTATTTTTTTATTGCAGGAAGAACATTATACATGCTTCAGACTAATATGCAGCCTTGTTTCATTAAAAAAACTTCTTAGCTGTGAAGTTACCACCTAAATATTTCAGCTTGACTTAAGCTAAGGATTATAAAGTATATCTACATATGAAGGGTGTGTGTGCTTGGCCTACTGCCAAAGGTTTTTTTTGAATAACAAATAGAAAATAGTTTTAGTTGCTGTTACAGAGGTACAGCTGTACACTGTTTGCTCTCTACCTGCTAGGAGTGGCAGAGCTAATTCAATTTAACTCCCAACTGGGACACAGTCTCCTCGGTGCATGAGAGTTGCCAACAAAAGGACACACTTCATTTATTGCAGCTCAGTTCATTAATCTCTGGATGTGAAGCATTGTCTATTCAAGTAATCAATTTGAACAGACAATGACTTTCTATATTGAAGAAGTTGAAGGGATTTAAGGCCGATGTGACTCAATCAGGTGGACTTCCTTGAATAAATAATTATTTGATGATTAACAGTACTGTGTTAATTAAATCCATCCATCATCCATCCATCCATCCATCCATCCATCCATCCATCCATCCATCCATCCATGCATCCATCCATCCATCCATCCATCCATCCATCCATCCATCCATCCATCCATCCATCCATCCATCCATCCATCCATCCATCCATCCATCCATCCATCCATCCATCCATCCATCCATCCATCCATCACCAATCTCCAGCAGTCTATTGATGGAATGCAGAGTAAACCCTGGACAGGACATATTCTATCACAGAGCTTTAATTTGGCAGTATATAAATAAATTATTTAGATGCATGTTTTTATATAAATTTTTGAAGACAGGGGTGCAACTACTTTGTTTCCATATTTTGGGGAAAATTCACAATCGCTGAATCTCTGTGGCAAACAAACAATGCTTGGATTTAAGAATTTGATGTTTCTTTTTTAATCTGTTCTTAATAATCGTAAATATGACCTTAGTTTCCCTTAAATCCATAACAACAACCTAATGTACACGTTTGAAATACTTAAAATAAGATATATTTTACTCAGTAGTTCAGTTTTATTAGAAACAGACGTTCTTTTTGGCTGATGCACACTGATGGTGTTTGTTAGTCAATTTGTAATTTAATGTTTCCACCAACTGAATCAGCCAAAATGGGCCATTTTATTATGTGTTATTTAAAAAGCCACAACAAGTGACAACAGTAAAGATTTATTTTATTTTTGCCAGAGATAAGTAGAAAGGTATTTGTTTTAGCCAAAAAATTCAGATATAACTGTCAAACAGAAAGAGGAAAAAATACAGAACAGAAAACAGAAACTTTCTAGAGAAGATTATCATCTGGATGAGATAACCATACTCTGCCACTACTCTGACCTCCAGTTCTGCTGTGAGTGGAATGTGACAATGTCTAGACTTAATGGTCTATCCAGCAGGAACACCCAACAAGCAGGGAACACTAGGGAATTAATGTTTAGCAACAAAGCAGGGCTAAATTTGTTGCTAAATTCTAAATTTTGAGGGTAATCTCTCATTTTACAAAGTAAGTGGAATGAAAAGATAAATGGTTCAAACTAGATACCATACATTTTCTCAGTTTTTGGTGAACTTAAAGGTGTGTAAAAACAAAAGGACGATCCTCAGCGAATCAGGTAGACTGATGCAGCCTGGAGTCTAAGCAACAGCGGCAGTATGTCCCCCTTTCTTCAAACTTTTCTTATTGGGTATAAAAAGACATTGAAGATTCCTGATTCTTAAAAATCACTTTCATAACCCCTCAATGTACTCCAGTTAAAGTATTAAATCATAAAAAGTATGTCAAAAACAATTTTTTGTCTATTTTTACACTATACTCTAATATATATTCTTTCATTGAAGTGCTTAAACCTCAATGTTTACCAGTTCCCTGTAAGGTGTAGAAGAGTTAAAGATTGGATGGATGGATGGATGGATGGATGGATGGATGGATGGATGGATGGATGGATGGATGAAAGATAGATAGATAGATAGATAGATAGATAGATAGATAGATAGATAGATAGATAGATAGATAGATAGATAGATAGATAGATAGATAGATAGATAGATAGATATCCACATGCTGCTTAAACATCTCTTGGTTGTGGGGGTTAAACTGATCTCTGAGGGTGAAAGAAACAGTTAAGCAGCAGGATGTCAATAGTTAATACTCAGAGACCTTCTTTTTAATTTTTTTTTTAGAGCATCCTGTGAGAAGCTGGTTTGGATTGAGACCTGGGGATTTTGGAAGCTGGGTCAATACTTTAAGCTCCTTGTCTTGTTCCTCAAGCTGTTTGAGCGGTTTTAGCAGTGTGGAGGGCCGTGTTGTCCCGCTGTGGGAAGCCCCTGCTGTCAGGAAGTGCTGTTTCCATTTGTCAGTGGGTTGTCAACGTAACAGCCACATGAATGCTTGGGACTTGAAATTTCCCCTACAGAGTCTTGCATTGTTACAGGAGCAGTTCTGTTATTCACCTCAATAGTTAAGTTTGCACATGCATGACCAGTAAAGGTTCTCATTACAATTACACAAATGTTTAGATTTTTATGTAGGTGATGGAAATGGGACTCCATTATGAATAAACTGAGAAATATTCGTCTGCCGTTTAACTGAGTGCAGTGCTAAACTGTTTTAGCAAAATTGTATTATATGGCTCTTAAACTGTGAAATAAAGACAAAACTGAAATATTACACTGCAGTGTGCTCAGATATGAGTATGTTGATGTTTTTCAGTGCGTAATTAAATAAATCAAATGAAATCCTTTCAGGAAAAGTAAAATTTTCACTCATATTTTTTTTACTAAAATGTTTCTGAGCATTTCATTTTACATTTTTCTCCCAGCAGGGACTTACACACAAACCATATATTTAAAAGTTCATGGCTTAAACAGGATCTCTAAAAGGGTTTTTAAAATGTTCCGCCGTAGATGCTCTGGGAATTATAATAAAACACTTGGAACAATGATTGCTCCACTGTATGTTATAAATCATAACGTCACTCATTAAAGCAAACTTTGTCACATATAGACATATCAGGGGTTTTTGTACTTGATTAATAAACTGGAGCTGATAGAATGTTCTTAAAGACAAAATACCTACAGTAGGTCCTACAGTATGTTTAGAAATTTAGTTATATATATATTTAAAAACGCATACAGTCTGTGCATATTCTGAAAACAGAAAGCAGAAAAATTGATTGTTGAGACATTTAAGCATAAAATATCAGATAAATGCAGCACTATATAAACAGTTGACATATAAATAACCTATTGTACATAGAGCCCCTGCAGCTATTTTTGGCAGCTCACTTGGGTTTATATTTCCCTTTTTTAAATTCCCTTGTTGTTTTTAAGGAACCAAAAGGTCACTTAGACAGCCCTGACACTTTCAATGATTTAACGAACTGTCCTTCCTCAGTGCAAAAGCTTTTCCAAAAACCTACAGACTATTTACCTGCATCTCTAGCAGCTCTCTAAAGTCTACAGCTTAATTTCCTGCTTTTTGAGAGGATTTTTTTTCTAGTGTTTTTTTATTATCATCACACTGTCACAAGTACAAACCAACAAAATTCACTTTCTGCATTTAACCCATCCCCTTGGGGAGCAGTGGGTTGCCGTTGTTGCGGTGCCCAGGGAGCAGCGTGGGCGTTAAGGGTCTTTGTTCAGGGACCCAGAGTGGCAGTCAGTGGAAGTGGGGCTTGAACTCAGAACCTCAGAATTCTTAGCACACTGCCCTAACTAGGCTGCGACTCCCTTAGGTTCCTCTTTTTTTACAATATGACGATATATTATAAAAATGACATATTGTAAAAATACATGTTACTTAACCAGAAAGTACTATTTTGTACTTTTTAGGATAACACATCTTTTTCATGTCACCAACTAATTTGCTAACAGCTATCTTTTCCTCAAAAGAAGCCCGTATATTATAGGTAATGAACCTGAAAGTACTTGGTAAAAAGTTGCACAATTTGAAAAGTAAGAAAATTGTACAATCTAGACTCAATTACTTGCATACATTTTTCTAAAAATCAGGTTACAACTGAATTAGTACTGGGCTACAACTGAGCAAATTAAAAGGAGTCATCAATAAAACCAACCTATACATCCCTGAAAAGTAAACTATATAAAGCATTCTGCAGAAAAAAATCATACATTTGAAGAAGATACCCAAGTATTTCTGAAACTTGTCAGTTTTAAGAAAAGAAAGGTATAAACTTCACAGGCTACCTCCTTACAAGCTGTTTTGGAGATTTTGGAAAGCAATCCATTTGTTCCAAGTGTTCATGTTTAATTTGGATAAAATACTTCACCTTTACAGGGAACATGAGCCATATTATATATTTCATAATGTTATAATGTAGTTTCAGTGGTTAATTGGGCCGGTTTTGCATTATAATCATGTAATTTACCTGTGTTAATGTGTATTGTACACGATTACTAAAGTTTTACTGATCTTTTCAATACTATAGAGACTTTTTTTGTGTCTAAACAGCTCATTCTTGTTTTAAATGATCAAGTATTTACGGTGCAGAAATGGAAACCTGGGATGTTATTTTTCATTTGTTTGGTTTTAATATTTCTGATTAACAAGGCAGGATGTAATGCTACCATCAGATGTTGCATTAGCAGAATTATATCAGGTTAAACCGCATGGTACAGATTCTTCTACACTAAATGGCATTTGACACCCTGGAAATGAGAACACACTAATATAAGGCTGTGTCTCTGCTAACAAACACCACAGATCTTTGAGATAAATCTGCCAGTAATTACATGTTCTTTTCCGGTTTTCATTATTTCTCAAAAGGGTATTGACAGAAAATCAGCCTGCAGCATCAGGGGAGTGTTCTGAGCTTGATGTTTTCAGGCAACATGGAGTATCTACCCTCTAAGATTAGGGAAGCACATCACGAATCACTCAGCTGCAGGGGAGATAAGAGAATATTACGCAGAGCTAAGCTCTCCATGTGGTCCTCAGAGGAAGTCCTCAAACCCCCTGTGTTCAGGTCTTAACATTGTAACAGCGTAAGACTTATTAATGTCATAGACTTGAGCTCTTTTAATGTTAAATACATGAAAGAGGGAGTTTATGTGAAGGAAATTTCATTTTTGAGCTGTCATTACCTGAGTGAGAGCTGTGCATAGAGCAAAGATCCAAAGGGCCACCAGGTTCTCGTTTAGCCAGTCCTTTACTCGCTCGTAACATGGCTGTGAAGAAACACATAACCAGAGATACTAAGCAAACCTTAGCACATGAAGAGAGACTACCATGAATGTGTTTAGTAATATACACCTGTTAAAGGGGCATCTATAACTACATCTTCAGCATGAAGGTTGCACTTTAAAATGAGACATCCTGAGATTATATATATACAAGTTACATTAACACCAAAGAAAATACACAAAATATTATCTTTGGAAAACATTGTGATTCATTACCATCTAGCAATATCCCATTGCTATGAACATTGAATGCTCCAAAAGAGTTTTACCCCTTGCATATTTATTGTTATTTTTTGTTCTCTTACCTAAATATTTCTAATATTAAAATTAATATTTTTTAAATTAAACCATAATAACCTGAGGGAATATGAAGTGCAAAATCCAGATCTATGAGCACTAATTGATTTTTGGAAATCCAGGTTCAGTTTCTGTAGTCAGAATTAGGCTTAAATCCTGTCAGAACTATAAAATGAGATAAAAAGCACACAAAAAAAAAAAAAACACCTCAATCAAACATACAACAAGTTTTGCCTCATATTTGTGACCTACACCTATAGCTAAAAACTGCTGCCACCCTCTGATCATAAATCACAATCTTACAATCTTAAAGAATCCTTTAAAGAAAATCCTGTATCTGGATTATGATCTGGATCATCACCAACAATTTATGGATTGTTTCTTGGCATGAAGCACACTCTGGTAAAAATTTAATTAAAATCCATTAATAAGTTTCCCTGTACACAGACAGACAAACACAGACAAAGTCCTAAAAATATAAACAGTCATTGAACCTTGGTTGAGTCACTAAAAAGAAATAATGCAACTGCTTTTGGCATTTACCTAATCAGATTTAGTTACTTTAATGCAATTATTTTATGTCCTACCCTGCTAACATGAAACAACTGTGTTAAAAGAACTAAATATGATTAAGTAAATACCAAAAATAGTTGCATTATTTTTTTCAGTGATGCTGGTTGAAAAGAGGAACAACACTTTTAGAGGGAATATTCAGTGGGTGGACAACATACAAGTGAACAGTTTATGAAGGTGTATATCCTATTCTGGCATAGAACAAAAAAAAAAAAAATCATACAGTCAAACATGTTGGTGACAGGTTGGTGGTCATGTGCTGATTGCCTGCTTCAAAATAGCATTTTACTTTAATAATGGAATCATCTTTTCAGAGCTGCTTTTCATACTACCTTGGATTGTCTTTGACTGGTATATTTTTTATGATTTGAAATATTCAAAACTGTCAAAAAAGCAAAATTAAGATAATTGATTACAGTGTAAAAACTTAAGATCCTTTTCCTTAGAAATTATATAAGCTGTATGCAAATAGAGGATAGAAGTAATTAGAGAGCTTTTTCCACCAGATCAATGATATGCGCAAGGGAAAACGATATCTATTATCTAAGCAAAGTTAGTGATTTTTTAAGTCTAAATGAAAGCAAAAACCAGAAGTATATGGCTTGAAAGACCTTCCACTTAGTTTCGTCTTAAACTATGTGTTGACTTATGATTAATACACTGCAGGAGAGACTTCCTGCTATACAAGTGTTATCAAAATAGGCTACGGCACTTATCTAATTAAATAATTAATTTTAACGTGTTCTAGTCATAGTGTTATGCTGTATTTTTTTAATCTTAGCACCTCAGGAAGCTGAGTCAGAGCCAGGAAACCAAACAATCTTTTCAGCTTTTTACTGCTGCTTGAAATGTCAGTGAACCAGAAAATATATACACCTGAAAAATGCTTCTGGGCTGGATCAATATGGAAAGTAATGCAGTGGACCTAAATTTAAGACAGGTTTGGGGGTATTTATCACACTGTTGTCCTACAGCAAGTCTCTTGGATCCCGGAGCTGCAATGGAAGTTATATAAATTTATATTTTTATGGTTATACTTCCACTGCAAGCTTCTATAAAACAGATTTGTGACCTTTCATGGTGACTTCCAGCTCAGAAATTAAGTGCCTTTACTGCCATCAAGCTCTTTATCAAAATGTTAACAACCTAAAACTATTTTTAATCAGTGTTTCTGGGTACCAAATAATTTGTTATGACAAATTAACAAACACACTGTCATTAGGCCAGGTACATAGCATAATATGGATTAAGTTCTTTGATTTTTCCAGTGCATTTAAAAGGATTTAGCCTTATTTACTTTGTCACAAACTCAAGAGGCCTGATGCAGATACTTCAACAGTCACCTGGCTCAAAGACAACCTGGCAAACAGACCACAGTTTTTTAGACTGAAGATACAACTGTCAAAGCAGGTAGACAGAAGCACAGGAGTGTACTCTGTTCACCTCCACCTTCCAGTACAAGAGAGAGTCCAATCATCTGCAGAAATTATCAGATGACTCTGCAGTTGTGGGGTGCATCAGAAATGGACAAGAAGCTGAGTACGGGGAACTGCTGGATTGGTTTGTGGTAGGATCTGGAAACAATTATCTGTTCCTAAATATAAGTGAATAAAGGGAGATGATTTGGGATTCCAGAACAAACAGAGGCAAGTCAATCTGCTTCTGCAAGTCAATGTTACCATCATGGGAGAAGAGGTGGAGCTTGAATACCTCAGTCTTTACCTGGACAACAGACTGGATTGGAGACAACCTTACCAGAAAGTTTGAAGAAAGTTAGTTCTTTCGGTGTTTGCAGCAATATGCTCCATATTCTTAATATGTCTGAGAGTCTTCTCTCTTCTGCTAACATCTGCTGGGGTAGCAGCGTCAGAGTAAATGACTAACTGAATTGTTCATTAAATTTTGCTGGAGCTGACTCTCAAGCTTCTTCCTCTATGCCTCTTGTTTTTTCCTAGCTAAATAATAAGTTGCTTCTTTATACTTCTCAGTAAATACCTATTTCCATCACCAGCTATCCAGGGTATAGTGTTGGGTAAGTGTCTCACTGTTTTGGTGGGGATGGTGTTATCTACACAGTTGGTATATAGTACTAACACACACAGTCATTGCACTGATGAGATCTCAATTTGGCTGGAGAAGTGCATCCTGGTATGTAACTGCAATAAAACCTTGTGTACTTCTTCAGTCTCCTGTGACCATTCATCTTATGGTGCTCTTCATTACAGATTACCTGATAAAGGGGCTTTAAAAAAAATATAAGATTGTGATGTGATTTCCCAAAAGGATGTCTAACTTTAGGGGACTGTGGCTAGAGCAGAGTGCTTGGGCTCTGAGAAGGTTTCCAGTACCCAGTTTGATCCCCATGACCTGCAGTCTGGGTTGCTGAGCAAAACCCTCAACCCCTGATTGCTCCCCAGGTGCCTCACAATGAGCCTAGATTTTTGTTTTCTCTGATACAGTAGCCCAGTGTTTCCCAACATTTTCTTGAATTGTGTACCCCTCTGGGCATTTTTTCTTAGCATTAATAACCCTTTCAGTCAAAAGTATTGGTGATTGTCCAAAAGTGGAACCTACAATAACTGATTATAAAATAAAAAATGTTTTACTTAATCTTTTAACTAGAGCATTTAATTCTTAGATCTTTTATTCGAATCATCTCAGAAAAAAAACCTAAACATAACATCATATTATCAACCTGTATTTATAAAACTGGAGCTCCTCTGAGTAACTCCCCTATAATCACATATAAACTGGATGAATTGGGAACAAAATACTGAACAAAATTTATGGTCAGACTGCCCTAATTAGTTTTATTAATTTTCATCAAGACACCCGAGCTGCTTTGATGAGCTCAAAAACAGCTCAGCAAAACAGCTGATCCCAGGCTGTTCTCTACATCCAGTCTGTTCCTCTGCTTGGTTTTGATGTGTGTCAAAGCTGAAGGTGAACTCAAAGAAAATCTTACTCTTTGGTTGATAAAAGCTTGTTTAATTTTTCAGTTTTGTCCTCATAAACCAAAACAGATCCCAGCACACCCTGTTGGTAATCACTGCAGTAGCTGATAAACTGTTGCAAGTGTAGCAGAGACTGAGACATATTTAAAAATCATGAGTTATTGCCACAAATGTATTTGGCTGTTGCATCTGTATCTTAGCAACAGCACACCTTATGACATCACACGTCAAGTTGGCAACATCTTGAGCAGCTCAGACCTTGAATTGATAATTTATCTATTAATCAGACAAAGCTGTCACTTACAGTGGTTCTACTCTAGGTTTCCGGAAGTGACAAACCTTCACAACCCTTTCTCTAAAGAGTGTTGCCCAACATTTGATGATCTTTTCAACTAAGAACATTTCAGAACTTCTTCCATTCTAATTCATATGAGGAAATAAGTTTCAGATAAGGAACCAGACTTTTGCTTTCTGGCATAGGTTTTTATTCACCACAACAGACTGGATTTAGGGGTAAAAGCACCCTTTGTGGAGATACTAACTTTTGCCAACTGCCCCTCTCCTGCACAATCCTTTTATCTTTCTTAAAGAAGAGACCTATATAATTGATCTCCTCCCCAGTAGGGAGCAGTCCACATCTCCGTGGTTGTACATCATGGCACTCAGAACTAGTGTAATTATTCTCCGGTTCAGCCCTTTGTGATCTCCAGTCTAAAATAAAATAACCATCCAAAAATATTGTTGAATGTCATTTAACAATTGTTGGAAGGTCTTAGCTTCTCTTTTCTAAGATAATTGAGGCCCTTTTTTTCTTAAATTGGTCCCCTAATGTTTTGTCCATTTAGCATTTACCATTTTCGAAATATTGTCACCAAGTTCAAATTTCCAGAGAAAGAACTTGTCTTTCATTCAGTTTAGAAAAGTAATCAGCAGAAAATTGGCATAATACTACCCCAACAATAATTCCAGACTAACCCTTCTATTTAGAAAAGACCGACAATCAGCTTTAAAGACACATTGAGCTTTTGGTCGAAGGTGAAATAACTGTATGCAATCACAGGTATTGATTAAGCTCCAGATTTGACTTTTGGTGACAAAACACGACAAAGTGGGCATACTAACATTTCAAAGATGGCCCTTAAAGCTGCAAGCATAAGCACA